CGGGCTGAACCTGGCGGGGTCCCGCAGCGATGGAGACAGCGATCCTCGGGGGCAGGAGAGCCGTAGAACCGCACGCACTTCTCTGGGCGCCCTTCTTGCTGAGAAGGGCCTCGAGGCAGGGCAGGGGAAGCCTGTGCGGTTTCTGAGTCGCAGTAGGCGAAGGCAAAGCCTCCAGGAGGCGGGGAGGCTGGTGCAGAGCTCGGGTTTATGCTAGCTGCAGGGGCTGAGCGAGGGGGACAGGAACAGGACAGAAGAATTAGCCAAAGCCAGCTGCATTAGAGGCAGGACTTCAAAATGCTTGAGGAGATGCACGCTGTCAGTGTTGGGTTTAACACCCTGCACCAGAGCTGGTGACAGGACATCTGCAATTGGATTTTTATAAACACTGCGTAAGTTCGGGAATACCGCTTTCCAAACCATTCCCCTGCTAGCGGTTGTCTGCCTGAGTACAGGTTAAAGGCTCGATCTTATTTGGACTAAGGAATACTTGGCTTGCTTACAACCAGGCACGCACAGAGACAGAGCAGCTGAACTATTCCTATGAACAGACTACTTCAGCCATTACAAATACTAAATGCCTGCTCTTGTCCCCTGCCCCCACCCCATCAGCCACAGCTATTTCAAAGGAGTTAGAAGTGAGATCACTTCCACGTTTCTCTTCCTTTCCCCACATTACAATGCTGATTACCTGGTACAGACGGAAAGCAGAAGTCCCAACAGGCACCAGCTGTCATTAGTACTATACACTGTCGGTCAACAATTGAAAGCCATCTGGCTGTATAAGCAGAACACTAAAAATACAGTATCTTGAAAGATACTTGGTATTGATTTTGTTTTCCTCTTAAGTCTGTCAATTTCATAGCAGTCTCATTTCCCATCTCCCCTCCTTCATGAGCCATGCAGTGTGTCAAATTCTCCTACAGACTCTTCAGTTCAAAGTGAGACCCAAGGCAAAACTACCTAATTAGTGTGCCAACTGCCAGGCATAAGCCCATCTCTGTAATATAACTGGACTGATGTTGGGGGTGAGGGCGTGGAAGATGACAACAATGACAAAACCTGCGCTCGTTTCACAGGGAATGCTATTCTCCACCACATTTTACATTTCACCATCCCTCAATGCTGAGGAGGAATCCCTACTACTTTTCTCCATAAATTCTTCAGTTATTACTGTAGTTCACCTTGATGAAGGCCTAATAATGAATCAAATGTGCTTTTCTA